TGTGATTAGTCAATTTCTTAAGGCTTAGGGCTTAAATCACCTATTGTAGACCGGCACTTAAGAAATTGACTAATCACAGTCGAGTATTTTCCTCATACTTGATTGTGATTGGTCAATTTCTTAAGGCTTAAGGCTTAAATCACCTATTGTAGACCGGCACTAAACGTTTTAATTATTTTAGATATATTTATTAATTTATTCATTTTACGCCATTGGGTGCCTTTCCACAAAACATTAAAATATGTTTAGTATATACAATATATGTACATTTATGTATATTGCATATTTCATGTATATACATCCTTGATGCAATGTACATAAATAGAATGTGAAATGTATGTGCAAATGTAACCGGAAAAATATACATAGAAGATCCATGGTATATATGTTTTTGATTAGTACATTCAATGTATATACAGAATGTATATACATTCTTCATACATATATGTACATACCATGTACATATGTATATACATGTACATATACATACATGTATATACATGTACATATACATACATGTACATACCATGTACATACATCCTGTATATATATTCTTTATACATATATGTACATACCATGTATATACATTCTTCATACATATATGTATACATTAGATATGACCTACTATTTCTGTTCTCGTGCGTACATACACACAGAAATTACTTAACACATGAATTTAAATGCATGTAAGGACATGTACATACAGAAAATACGTATACGCTCCGATATGTGCATAATTTTATTTGTTAAAACATTGTTAAAACCCTGTGTACATGTTGATATATATGTACATGTTGTGTGTGTGTGCGCGCGCGTGCGCATAAAATCATTAGAATCATGAAGGTAAAAGACAAATTCAAAATTGTAAGTGTAAAAAGAATACTATAATTAATAATAAACAATACAATATATTAAAGCGCTTACAAAAACTGCAAATTTACCTTCCTTGTTTGAAGATCTTTGATACTTGTTTAATTTTTTATGTCCTATTTATTATCGCCGTCGTATTGTGTGAAACGTTGATCAATTTCAGTTTAATACGTTTCTTATATTCAGCGCGATTCAATATCGTTTGTAAACACATGGCATTGACATGTTGTATCTATACCGCGTAAATATGTGAATGAATTAAATAATTGCAGCGCATTATAAATTGTGTCGATATTGAATCAACGCATTTTCTGACCAAACAATTAAATTATTACGCATTATATTGTTGCATCCGCGCGTCGATTTTTAATATTTCATATTTCACCCTCTAAAATCATTTTTTAGTTCTAGGATGTGGAAAACGATGCTAAGGATGCTGAGGACAAATAAAGTCTTTTATAAGGCAAATAAGCGTATTTTCTCTGAAGAAAATAAACAGCTGTATAAACTTGTGAAGCAGCAGTCGCAAGAAATTAAACATCAGTCGCAAGAAATTAAACAGCTGTCACAAGAAAATAAACAGCTGTTTTAACTTGTGAAACAGCAGTCGCAAGAAATTGGATTTTTAAAATATGGAGTACATTCAATGAAAAAAAAGATAAAAGAGCAAGATATCATCCTCCGGATATTATATGTGGGGGAATTGGCGTCCAGCGTCAAGATATATATTCGGCTGGAAATCATAAGTAAAAAAATTGGAAAAATGACTTCCTTAAGTGATTACAATCAAATGGTTGAGGAAGGAAGTCATTTCCTCCATGTAAGTGATATTAAAAGATGGAGGGAGTTCCGAGAAAAATTGGAAACAGGAAACATTAAAATATCAGAATTAAACGATGCTTTAAAGAAGGCCACTCAATGGCGTAATCAAATTGCTCACCCCAAGGGTTTACGAATTTCATTATTAACCATAACTGAAAAAAAAATCAATTAGGACGACATTTTAGATAAAATGGAAAACATTTTTATTTATGTTTATAGTAATCTCTATTCTTAAGAGAATTATAACATGTATTATATAAGAGAATAAGAGAAAGGCTTTTATAAAAATAATTTAATTAACTTACAAAGAATAATAGGTGCCACAGCTAAATTTCTGAAAACTTTCTTTTTTTTGGCTCCTTCCCATGAATAGGACATGCCAACTTCATTCGTAAAATGATACATTATCCTTCGTACAACTTCTTTTACATATTTTGGAACATGTACGACCAAAACTTTCGTATGCAATTCCTATTTGAATTAATAATTGTTTACGCATGCAAAAGTATGTGCTCAAGAATTTGGACTCAGACCTTTGTCTCACAAGTACCGATGATATGCTACTGTTATGATACTTACTCTACAAAGGCACAACGACGATCAACGACGACTGCTTACTCTTACTCCTTATACATCCGCTATCCGCTTTCCCGCCAACTCACAAGTAGAATTTTTGAACGCACTCTGACGGATCCCGACGCGCTTGTGATCACGTGACAGATTCCGATGCGCCATCTCGCGATGACATGATGCATCGCAATTCAAAACGCACATCGAATAAATACGGGTGCAGGCACGTATTCATTTCTTAAAATCCCGCGAAGTCGATGATCTCAAGACACGCAGCAGCATCTGCGACAAAAAGAAGATATCGTTTATTCAAAGAGAAAAAAAAAGAGGAAAAATAATTGATATTTTAACTGATATTTAAACAAAAAAAAAACTTGCACATTGCTTCCTCATCATTTTATCTTACAATGCTTAAGCTGCTTTAAGCATGCGGATTTTTCAATTTTTGCTTCCTCATAGAGGAAGCTTTGTGAGCGAAATAAAAATTAAAATGAACCTTTTCATCGATTCTCACCAAATTCAATACCAACCATCTTTGAATGATACTCTATCCATGTAAAAAAAAATTAACCCGGTATCTCAAAAATTGCGGAAGTTAGAGGTTGTACAAAATATCGCGTACATACACACACGCACACACACACACACACACACAAACAAACACACACACAAACAAACAAACAAACAAACAAACACACACACACACACACACACATACATACATACATACATACATACAGACATTTTTTAGGAATATGATTTTTCGACGTTTTGGAACATTCTAAACACATTGGCATAGAAAACTCAAATAACAATTTTGTCACGAAAACAAAGCTTCCTCTATGAGGAAGCAAAAAGATTATCGTTTCAAGTCATAAAGATGGCGATTCGGACTAAAATCGAGATATTCGAGATACACATTGACATAAATCTTTTTACACAAAATTGTCTCCTAAAATACCAATAAAATTATGGTAAATTAATCTTGTAAGTGTGCAAATATTTTGAGATACATTTCTATTATAGAGATTTACATTAGAAGCACGCATTTGAAAAAATTTCATTTTTTCGTTTTTTTTAAGCTAAGCGTAATCACCGGCCCTGAAGTATCGTGACGTAGCGATGAGGCGTAGTACAAAAAAAAAACGCTGGCTAGCTGCTATGGGATGCGAGACTGTGAGACGCGCCGAACAGAATCGCTGGAGCCTAGCGCCGGCAAGGCTACTCTTATCGCAAAGCTTCTCTCGAATCGAACTGATAACATCCAACCGGAAGTACTTGCAAACTTGCACCGAACTGTACCAATCAGACGATCTTTTTGTTATAACAGCGGTAAGTGTGAAATTTCATCTATTTAAAAAAAATTCTTATTCTCGTAATGATATATTCGAGTACGGAATAAATTTTCCCGTGCAATTTACATTGCATCTTGTATAGATTTCCGAAGCGTCTACGAAAACGTGTTTTGAAAGTACACATCTTTAGGGGATTGTAAATTTTGAGAAAATGTATACATTTTACTTGTATATTTTATTACATTTACATTTTATTTCACTTTTACTTGTCTAGAATTATTAATTTAAATATGTATTGTATATATACGCATTGTTATATCGTAATTGTAAAGATAACATGCACGTCTTGTATGACTTCGATACAAAATCTTCGAAATTTTATTAAAATTAAAGTTAAAATTAATATATTAAAAGAAAGCAATATATATATAAAGAGAAACAATTTTGTTCAATTTCTAGATGTACATTCGAGAGCGATTTTTTAATTATCGAAACAGGAAATTATAATTTAAGTATATTTGAAACGATTATTTCTCTACTGATACAGAAAATGGGTTTCAATCCTATGAAATGGAAAACAAGAACCATCGTGCAAGGTGTTTTAGGCGCTTTGCTTTTTTATATACTATTTGTTTATAAGAAGAAGCATCAAGTGATGTTTGAAGCGACTGTAAATAACTCAAATCCTAAGCATGTATGGGAATTCGTGGCCGATTTTAGCAACATGAAAAAGTTGAATCCAACAATGTAAGTAGGAATAAGATTTAAATGATATTTTTTGAAATTAGATATAAACTAAATGTACACATATTTAAATGTACATATTTTTTATATATATTATTTTGTGGTCTCTTTTTTTATCTTTGAAATATAGGACAAAACAATTACATTTTAATTCGAAAAATGAGAAAAATATTTCTTTATGTTGCATATCTTTTTAAACTTTTTTTGTAATATTAATTCATCGCACTCGTTTGAATTTATATATTGCAGAGAGGATTTTAATGTGATCGCAGAAAGCGGAAATTACGATCATTGGAAATATTCCGTGCAGTATACCGAACATTTAAGTCACTTACCAATGATCCGAAACGTAGCGCACGGACACTACGCCATCAAACCGGATAACAATGGCTACGTCATCAGTTCCAAACATCGGACTTGTTTCTTCTTCGATTTCAACTGTTGTAAGTGGACACTATTCATGATTCGATCGTTAATCTTATTTTGTCCTATATAAATCGAGAGACATATATAGAAATAAAATAATATTTTTGAAGGAATAAATATTAAAGAAATTTGTATGGAAACATTATTTTCTTATGAATATTTTATAGAAATTTTTAATAATTAATTTTCGAACATTTCGTCTTTATACGTTCAATTAGTTGCCTAGAGCATATACTTTTATCCACAACTGAAGAAAATCGTAAATTCTAATGAGGCTATTTGTTTTTCAGTGGAATCTGTTTCACAATTCAGATTCGACGCGGATGGTGCGAAGGATACAAAATGTATCGAGACCGTACAATACGAATGTCCAATTGCGTTTTCACCTTTGTGCTATAGGGAGGTCATGTATCAGCGAGAGGAGATTATGAAGAGACTCAAATCGGAGTTCAATAGAAAAGACACTTAAAAATGTCTCGTTACGGAATATTATTACGCATGTACTTATTTTCACATTAATTAGAATTTCTTTTCAAATAAAAATGCGCGAATGTTATTTCATCAATTATATA